CAAACCTGCAAAGTCTTGATTCGTGGGTTGGAGATACTTACTGTTTTGAGTTGAGTTTACCACACTTAAAATGATAAAGTTCCTCGAGTAGGGGAAGCTTTGAAAGAAGGGCGTGAAACTCTGCGTTTGCCATCATCTTAGATCGCAAGTGCAAAGATTCCAAGTGATCACAACCATCCACCTTGATGATGGACCAAGGTTTGTACTCAGGAGTTATAATGCTAAAGCTTTGGATACTTGGACATGAAATCACAAACTCCTCAATATCTTCTGATGCATTCTGGTAATTCTCTGATCCACGTACACAATGGTGGCATTCTTCATTTGGGACCTGAGTTCTTCAGATAAAGCACGTAGTTGTTCATTAAACATCTTGGCAGCATCATTGAGAGGCTGAATGCATCCATTCTCGTCAAGGTCGCTGGCACTTTTGTGGCCATACACTGATACACAGTAAGTTTTAGAGGCAAACAACCAAGAGGCCGGGTCTTATGTACCCAGAAATTCTTCCCACCATGTTGATATAAATCCTACATTTTATTAGGAAAAAATAAAAAAAACATTACTATATACTATCCAATGATGTATGTATCTACCAAAAAAAAAGGTGACAATTTGAGGACTAACCCATATAGCCAATTTGATTTCAGTGATGAAAGATGGGATCTTTTCAACAACTTGAGCATGTGGAATGTAAGAAAATGACCCAGATAGATCATTCTGTACAATATCAAATATTTACAGTGCATTTTGGAAATTCTCCTCTCTAACCAAATCTGTGTGTCCTGAATTTCCCAAATTCTCTTGTTATAGTTGAATAATAGAAAATTGTGGGTGACATTTAATTAACTTGATAATTCATACCTTTAGATGCTAGTAAGAGCTTTTTGGAAATTGATTTGGGTTGGCGAGTGAACCTCATCCTGCAGTTTAATAAAAATGTTACAAAAATTATCAAGATACTGCCATAGAGAAATAATTGACAGGAAGTTCAACCACAATCCTCAAAATGTCATATAATCGAACTAATTCAAAAATTACAGAGAAAAGATCATTACCCTGAGGGCAAAAACTAAAGACAGCTCCTTTATCTTCTTCAGTATGCTGGCATACTCGATTTTCCTTTCTTTTTTTTTTTGGTACATTTAAAAGTTAATTACTTAACAATATAAAAATTTTAACTTGTAAGTAAACTCCCAATCAATAATTTTAAGTTAACAGATATCAACTCATCTAAATTCAGTTGGTACCCTTTTCTAATCTCATATTACGTGGTAATTTAATACGCGTGGCATGATGTCAGTGGATGGAGAGACGGTTACGTGGTGGCCCCCTTCACTTGAAGACTTTCTGTTATTTTGAGCGGGAAGTTCTCCTCTCTCTCGTTTCTTCATTTTTTAATCTTAATTCTTGATTCTTGATTCTTGATTCTTGATTCTTGATTCTTGATTCTTCCCATTCTCTTCTACCTAAAACATCTATAAAATGTGAGTAATTTTTCCTCTCAACCCATAATTCTCCATCCTGCAGAGTACGAAATTCCCTAAACAACAAAAGAAATCCCCGAAAAATATCCAAAACTGTGTGATGGCGGCGTGCGGATTTCACAGCAACGACGGACAAAATTGCCCAGCAAATTGCATATTCAGAGGCATCTTTCCGCAATCTGATGGGCATGTTCAAGAGGTGAGTAAGTTTTTCAAGCTTGAAAATCTAATCGACTTTGCGAAGAACTTGAGTGGTGTAGAGCGAGATGAAGACCTGGTACCCACCCAGGGTATTAATGGTTTTCTATGGGAAATTCACGAATTCGTGCAAGATATCACTACCCGTTCTGGAAGGCCATATGCAAGAATAGAGGCTGTGCTGGAAAATCTGAGAAAAGCCCGAAGCTATCTCCCTGGAAAGCCGGCCCTTGCAGATGCACTGGTGGACATCTCCATTCAGATCCTGGATAAAAAAATGGAAGTCCCTAATTGTTTGGCGCTGGTTGAGGAATTTAATCTTGCCTTAGAGAAAGAAGCAGCGGAACAAGAAGAAGCAGCCGAGAAAGAACTTGCGGCCAAAGAAGCTACCGAGAAAGAAGTTGAGGCCAAAGAAGTGGCCGAGCAAGAAGTTGCTGCCAAAGAAGCGGCCGAGCAAGAAGTTGAGCCCAAAGAAGCTGCCGAACAGGAAGTTGCCGCCGAAGAAGCTGCCGAACAAGAAGTTGCGGCCGAAGAAGAAGCCGAACAAGAAGCTGCGGCCAAAGAAGCAGCAGAGCAAGAAGCGGCGGCCAAAGAAGCAACCGACCAAGAAGTCGCAGCCGAAGAAAGAGCGGGCAAAAAATCCGATGACTGATGTTCGACGGAGCCGGTGTTGTTCATATTCCAAAGATTTTTACCTATTCAATCTTGAAAATTTTTCTGAGATGTTGAGACGTTGGATTACACAAAGTCTTGTAATTTCTGGCATTTCAATCTTTTGCATCTCTTTGTCATTCCCTGTTTCATTGTTTTACAGAAAATCCAGAGCAATTTTGTTCTAATTGTTAGATCAAAATATTAAGTGACCCATTTTGCATTCCTTGAATCTTGTGGAAAGCGTTTGGTTAATTTGCATTACTTGTTTTCTGGGAGTTGTTTTACCACAAAAATTCAAGACTTTTACTCGAGGTCGGGACCCCATCTGCCGTAAAAATGAGGATCGCTCTGGCATGGAAGCAGAGTCTACTTCAGACTCTATCGACGGCGACGATTCTCAAACTCTTCTCCCCCTAGATGGGCTTTGTTCTAGTTCTTTGGCTGGAATCACAACGCCATTTATTAGACCAACAACGGCCACTTTATCTCGGAATTCATAAGGTATTTCCTTACTAAAATTTTGTTTTTCTCCTTCTTGATTTTTGTTGGTTTTGTCGAGATTATAAGGTGAATATGTCCAATTTTGTTCAATTGGGTAACTAAACAAAGGTTTTGTTATCTAGGTTTGGTTGATTTGTGATGTACGAGGAAATTGTTAAAAAATCAAGGATTCCCGAGAAGAAGAAGATGGAATGAAAAACTGAATTTCTCGTTAAACTGAAAATAATCTAACCTTTAAATAAGTTTTACAAGATAATATTATCTAAAAAGATAACTAACCAATCTTATCTAATTTAATTTAAATGATAACAACTTAAAACAAATAAATAACTTAAACTTCCTAAATTATAGAGATAATGGCTAAATAATAGGTCTAATTTCCAACAATCCCTCCCTTAAACTGAAAGTCTTCAAACTTTAGTTTAAAGAAATTTGGAAAACACCATATCTGCAGATCTATAATCTGGAATCTGCAAACCCTCCCTCAAATTGAATTCTGCATGCTGCAAACACCAAGTAACTCTCTTAGTTTTGAAAAAGCTACTACTTTGAGGGGTTTTGTGAATATATCAGCCACTTGATCTTCTGTTCTACAATAAATCAACTCAATTGTTCCAGCTTCTACCAAGTTGCGCAAGAAATGATACCTCACATGTATATGCTTGCTTCTCCCATGCAAAATTGGATTTCTAGAAAGCTTGATGGCTAAACTGTTATCACAATAAATTGAAGTGGCCTCATGTTGATTCAGCTCAAGTTCTTCCATAATTCTTCTCAATCAAATAGCTTGACAAGCACAAGAAGTTGCTGCCACATATTCCGCTTCTGTTGTGGACAAAGTCACAATGGGCTGGTTCTTTGAAGACCATGAAATTGCACCAGATCCCAACATAAAAACAAACCCGGAAGTGCTTTTTTTGTCATCCAGATCTCCAGCATAATCACTATCTGTAAAGCCTGCGAGATCAATCTGGTCACCCTTCTTGTAGAATAGTCCAAAATCTATAGTTCCACATAAATACCTGAGAATTCTTTTAGCAGTCTGCAAGTGCAACTCCTTTGGATGCTCCATATATTTGCTAATCAGACTTACACCATGCATTATATCTGGTCTTGTTGTTGTCATATACATCAGACTTCCAACAATCTGCTTATACAGTTTGATGTCCACATATCTGCCTCCTGGATCTTTCACGAGCTTTACACCTTTGTCTACTGGTGTAGAGACAGAATTGCAGTTCTTCATTTGAAATTTGTCCAAAACTTCCTACACATATTTTTTCTGACAAACTAAAATTCTAGAATCTGACTGTATTACTTCCAGACCAAGAAAATAATGCAACAAAGTGACAAACCCAGATCTGTCATATCAAATTCAAGCTTCGTGGACTGCTTGAACTTTTCCAACATGCCAAAATCATTCGCAATATAAATTAAATCATCAACATATAAGCATACTATAATCAATTTACCTCCATCTCCAAATTTGATGTAAAGTGTATGCTCATAAGGGCACTTTTGGAGACCTTCCTTCAAAAAATAAGCATCAATTCGACTATACCAAGCTATAGGTGCTTGTTTTAGTCCATATAATGCTTTCTTCAATCTGTAAACCTTATGCTCAAAACCAAATTGAACATAATCAGGAGGTAGATCAATAAATACCTGTTCTTGTAGATTTCCATGCAAGAAGGTAGATTTCACATCAAGCTGGTAGATCGGCCATGAGTTCTGTGTTGCCAATGCAATCACCAATATGATGGTATCCATTGTTGCAACTGGAGCAAAAACTTCTTGATAATCAATGCCAAACTCTTGCTTGTAACCCTTTGCCACCAAGCGAGCTTTGAATTTGTCAATCGCCCCATTCTCTTTGAGCTTTGTCTTGTAGATCCACTTAACACCAATTGTTTTGTGCCCTTCTGGAATATCTGTCAACTCCGAAGTCTGGTTCCTTTCAATAGAACCAATTTCTTCTGCCATGGCTTTTTGCCACTTTTCTTCTTTAACAGCTTCTTCATATGTCAATGGATCACAATCTACAAATAGAGCAAAATGATTAACTAGAACATCATCTTGAGGTAGATCTGTTATCTCATAATCTTCCAACCATGCTGGTCTTTTCTTTTTGCGTTGAGGTCTGGAACTAGTTACAGATTCCAGTTCTGGTGTTGTTGGCAGACCTCCTCCAATACTAAGCTCTACTTCTGTAGGCAGACTTTCTTCAATTGTCTATCTTGAAACCTCGAAAACTGCTAAAGTTTGACCTTCTGAGTTCTGCAAAGTAAGATCTTCTCCATTTTCGAAATCTGTAGGAATCTGTTGCCCAGATTTTTCTGTCCAAGACCAAGTGCTTGCTTCATCAAATACTACATCACGACTAATGATGACCTTCTTGGTTAAAGGATTATATAATCTATAAACTTTGGACTGATCACTAACACTAAGGAAAATACACTTTTCCCCTTTGTCATCAAGCTTACTCCTTTTCTGATCTGGCACATGTGCATATGCTATGCACCCAAAAATTCTGAAGTAATCAACAGCAGGTCTACGTCCACTCCAAGCCTCTTCTGGCGTCAAATCTGGAAGTGGAGATGTGGGACTTCTGTTCAAGATATGAACACTCCAATTAACAACTTTTGGCCAAAACTCTTTAGGCAAGCTGCTCTTTGACATCAAACTTCGCACCATATTCATGATTGTGCGATTCCTCCTCTCACATACACCATTCTACTGAGGTGTATAGGCTGCTGTGAGTTGCCTTTTAATGCCATTGGACTCACAAAAATCTGCAAATTCCTTTGAATTAAACTCACCACCACGATCTGTACGTAGAACCTTTACAAATCTACCAACCTCATTCTCAGCCAAGACTTTGAAATTTTTAAAGGCTACTAAGGCTTCTGACTTGGTTTGCAAAAAATACACCCATGTTTTGCGACTGTAATCATCAACAAAGGTAATAAAGTATTGTTTACCTCCATTGGATGTTGGATTTATGCATCCACATAGATCAGAATGAACCAGATCTAGCACCTGCTTTGCTCTCCAAGATCTGTCTTAAGGAAAGCTGTCACGGTACTGTTTACTGACCACGTAGATTTCACAAATTTCTGCAGTAGAATTAAAATGAGGAAGACCATTTACCATCTTCTTCTGCTACAAAGCTTTCAACCCACCAAAATAAAAATATCCAAATCGGCAATGCCATAACCAAACTGTGTCCTTTGATCTGGCAGATAAACATGACAGATTTGTGGTCTGCAAGTATAATGGAAACAACTTATTTCCCATCATCTTGACCTTTGCAATCAGGCCAAGTTTTGAATCACGAATTTGGCAAACTCCATCTTTAATAAGGATTTCATATCGTTTTTCCTGAAGCTGTCCCAAACTAAGCAGATTCAACTTCAAATCTGGTACATACAGAACATTAGAAATAGTCTGAATTGAATTGTCTTTGGCATGAATGGTTACCTTTCCCCTTCCCTTGACTGCAATAGTGGAATTATCACCAAATTTCACCTTGTCTTGACAAGACTCATCCAAATCTGAAAACGTAGATTTGTCTCCACACATGTGATTGCTGCAACCAGTATCCAGACACCACACATTCTTCTTACTGACTTCTTTAGGATGACAGACCATGAATAGAAAGGAATCATCATTCTTTTTATTGTGTTCTGCAAAATTGGAACTTTCTTCTTTATTCAGATTAACACAGCACTCAGAACGATAATGGCCATACTTATGACATTTGAAGCATTCAATATTTGCCTTTCCTGCAGATTTGGATCTGTTATCTGTAGCTTGATAATTTCTATTTTGCCACCTTGAGCTTTCCTCCAATTTGTCAAATCTCGGTTTGCCAGATCTTGGTCTGCCTTTCTAGTTTTCTTTTCCTCGACCTACAGCCCTTGAATTAACTGTGGTCTGCAAGGCTTGTGTCTACAAAATCTGCACTGCTTGCTCTTGCTTGTCTTGGCGATTTATCTTCCACTCATGAATTAACAATGAGTTTTGCAACTCATCAAGAGAAAGTGTCTCAATATCATTTGACTTCTCAATTGAACAAACAGCATAATTGAATTTTGTTGTCATAGATCGAAGGATTTTCTCAACTATAGCAACATCCTCCAGATTTTCACCATGGATCCTCACCTTGTTTGCAATAGCCATCGTCCTCGCAAAATAATCATCTACAGATTCACCAATTTGCATCTGCAGAACTTCGAATTCTGCCCGCAAAGCCTGACGCTGTTGCCGCTTTGCTCTTTCATTCCCTTGGTACTTCTTCTTCATGGAATCCCAAATATTCTTGAAAGTAGACTTGTTAAGAATTGTTTCCAAGATACCCTGATCTATGGCTTAGAACAAATAGTTCTTAGCCTTGAGATCCTTCAATTTTTCCTTCTTAATTTTGACCCTCTGTGCATCATTTGCACCTGTTGCTGGTTCTGGAACTCCAACTTCAACAATGATCCAATACTCTTTGGACCGGAGAAAATTCTCCATCAACATACTCCAATGGTCGTAGTGATGACCATCAAAACAAGGGATTGAGGGTTGGACATAATTTTTGAAAGCCATGGAATTTTCTGGGAATAGGCTCTGATACCAAATGTTAAAAAATCAAGGATTCCCGAGAAGTAGATGGAATGAAAAACTGAATCTCTCGTTAAACTGAAAATAAGCTAACCTTTAAATAGGCTTTACAAGATAATATTATTTAAAAAGATAACTAATCAATCTTATCTAATCTAATTTAAATGATAACAACTTAAAACAAATAAATAACTTAAACTTCCTAAATTATAGAGATAATGGCTAAATAATAGTATCTAATTTCCAACAGAAATATCTTATAAACAAACCTTGATTTGAATATGGGTCCTATACTCCTATTCTTAATTACTTGTTTGTCTTTCATCAAACAGATGGTTTGGAAAGATGTGTATTGAATGGAATCCATAGAATGTTATGCTCGTAAACTGACATGCCCATATATTTAATATTCGATAAAACGCCTCAATAATCTCTGTGCACTTCTTCTCTTCTCATAATCTGTTCGGCATCATAACATGCTGTGATTTCTCAATTTTTACTTTCATAGCAGTATCTTTTTGACCATTGATTGTATGAAAGTGATCTCGTTATATGTTTCATTTAAGTGGTTTTCTGTAAACTAACCTTATACTCATGAGAATTATTTGTTGAGTTTCATGTTAAATAATGATTCCTGTAACAACTGGCCCTTAACTGGTTGTTGATTACGGAGTCATTGCTCATGTCAAGCAGAATGACTTTCAGCTGTTAGAGATTAGCCCTCACCTTGTTAGTAAAGTAAATATATGATGCTTTTGTTTTAGTTATCTGGTTTTTTGGAATCTGGTTGTTTTGTCCTGAAGTTTGTTGCCAATGCTGTCTGGCTAAAGCTGCAGGGGTTTTATGAGCAAAGCTTGGGCGCAAGAGCAGTGTGGCTCAGCCTCAGCCTCAGCCCGAGAAAGATGTTAGTGAAGTATTTGAGGAGCTGTCTTTCCCTAGGAACAGGTTTTTTGGTTTGAAGGGATAAGGAGATTGCGGGATTGAGACTGCCTTTTTTGGATATGGTGATAGTCTTAAGCAGGATCACTCTATATTATCCATTAAAGCGAAGCAAGCTGGCAATCTGAAGGACTTGCGGATGAATAAAAAGATACCATTTCCAGAAGAGGAGGGAGATTTATTAATTTGGAGTTGGGAAAGAGCAAGCTTGAGGCTAATAAGCTGGCTGGAGTCGTGGGTGGGAAGGAATTCATTGAAGAGGTCCAAGTATACGAAATCAAATAGTGGGAATTATAGGAGCTTAGGAGGCGGCAGTATTGTGATTTGCATATATGGGCTTCCTGTCATTGGAAACACAGAGTTAGCTCTTGAATTTGCCAACAGGTATGCTCAAAGATATAAAGATAGTTTTGTGGGTTGGGGGGAGAGTCTCCATACTTACGGCAATACATTTTAAATCAATCACTCAGCTTGGGGCTGGATTTTACATGACTTGATTCCTAGGAACGCTGGAGAGTCCCTTGTGATTATCACCACCAGGCTAGAATTGGTCTGTGCACTGTGCAATACATGTGGATTGAATTGACCTGCAGCATTAGGGCATAATGGGCTAAAGACTGGAGAATTGTATGCTTTTGGATCTTATGGTTTCGCCTAGATTTGTTATTAACTTTAACAGCATGACACAAAAAGTGTGCAGATGCTATGTTTTGTTGTATCTTTGGTGTCAGGACTTGTATGCTTTTGGCTTGTAAGCTGCACTCAAATCAATTAATATTTTGAGTTATCAAAAAAACTAGGCTTTAATTAAAACCGTGTGTTCGTATTACCCTTTTCTTTATTAATAGACGTATTAACCTTTTTAATAATTTTAAATATAATAATATTTATTGTAATTAAAATTAATTTTTAGTTAATAAATATAAAAATTATGTCAAACAGATTAATTTGTTATAAATAGATGTTTGACTTCTATATCAATTAAAGTATCCAATCATCATTAAATTTATTTTATTTTTGCATTTATAATTATTACTATAAAAAGGTTTTAAGTGAAAATATAAGATATAACTTATTAGCATTATATGTTATCTTAGTCCATTTGATATTTATTTTAGATTTCAACAAGTTTTTAATAGTTTTTATTCAAGATTTATTAAAAATATTAATAATTTTTATAATATAATAGGGCTAATTAATATTTCAAAAACTATAAAGATTTTTTTTAGTTTACCAAATAATAAAAAATATTTTCTTTAAAACGTTTTATAAACATCAGAAATTAATCTTTGAAAAAGAGAACAGGTCTTTGGATTATTGTTCTGATTGATCATGCCGTATCAATATTGCATACAAATAATCTCGAATGTGAAAGGTGACAAATTCTGTGAAGCCATGCAATGAACCAAAAGGCAACAGAAAATAGGCCTATTGACAGAGTTAACCAATAAAAATAATTATTTTGTACAAAAAAAAAAAACTATTTAAAACGTTTCCATTAACAGGGTCCTGATGGATTAAAAATGATCATCATCGGATGACTGATTAGTATCAATTTATCAATTTATTAAACCAAAACTAATTATTTTGTGTCCAAAAAAATAAAAATAATTATTTAAACTACGTTTCCATTAAGAGGCTCCTGATGGATTAAAAATGATCATCATCGAATGATTGGTCAGCATTTAATAATTACTAACGATGTGCAGTATAAATTACGAGCAGTTTTAGAGCTTAGTTTAGTTACAAAATTTATTAAACTAATATTAAATAAAATAGTTTAATAAATAATGAGTTAAATTTATTTATACATAATTCATACATATATTATTTATAAGAAATTTTAATTATGTATTTTTTTAGTATAAATAATTGAGATTTACTATAACTTTTTAAATAAAAAATTCATTATTTTTAAAAATTAAAATAAAATATGTATTAAGTCTTAATAATTTATAATAAAAAATTAATAATTAAGATTTTATATAAATAACATGCATAAGAGTTATGTATAAATAATTTTTAACTTATAAATAATAATTACTTTATATTAAATTGGTATTTTAATTTTAAAAAACAACTAATTTTAATTAAAAATTTTAATTAAATCACCTTGAATTGATCAATTTGGACCTTGATTTGATCCATTCAATCTAGATGATCTCGACTTAAATCATATTGAACTCTAGATTAATATCTCTTATGCCCGACCTATATAGTGATTTTATTTTTTTAATTTTTTTGAATAAGAGTAATTACTTTATTACTACTATAATACTATTACATTTTTTTAATAAGAAATAGAGAGAGAATTAGGGATCGAACGTTACCCAACACAGCGGTGTTCCTACTTAGGCACGGAGGGAGCAGAGTGGTACGTGGAGAAGAAGCAAGTGGCTCCGTTAGATCTTTTGCTCAGGTATATTTGTGATTGTGACATGAAAATCAACTGAAGGAAGCTAGCTATTTTAGTCCACATTTACGTCGAAATTTAATGCCCATAATGGTGATTTGGAAACCTGTTCCTGAGAGACTTCATTATCAGAAAGTTGGTTCTTTGTCAAGCCCTCCGGTCTTTCGTTATCTGCAGACTGATGCTGTGACCATCTATGTGGCCTAGGATGGGGTTTCCTTCTCAAGTCAAATTCTCACAATTCTCCATTGGTACCAAATTCCCTACACACAAATCCCTGAAAAACATCCCAAAACTCCGCCATGGCGGCTTGCGCATTTCACAGCAAAGACAAGAAACGTTGCCCAGCAAATTGCATATTCAGAGACGTTTTTCCGCAATCTGATGAGAATGCTCTAAAGGTGCGTGATTTTTTCAAGCTTGAAAATCTAATCGGCTTTGCGAAGAGCTTGAGTGGTGTAGAGCGAGATGAAGACCTGGTACCCACGCCGGTCATTAATGCCTTTCTACGGGAAAGTCACGAATTCGTGCAAGATATCACTACCCGTTCTGGAAGGCCATATGCAAGAATAGAGGCTGTGCTGGAAAATCTGAGAAAAGCCCGAAGCTATCTCCCTGGAAAGCCAGCCCTTGCAGATGCTCTGGTGGACATGTCCATTCAGATCCTGGATAAAAAAATGGAAGTCCCTAATTGTTTGGCGGTGGTTGAGGAGTTTAATCTTGCGCTAGAGAAAGAAACAGCCGAGCAAGAAGAAGCAGCCGAGCAAGATGAAGCAGCCAAGCAAGAACTTGTGGCCAAAGAAGCTGCCGAGAAAGAAGTTGAGGCCAAAGAAGTAGCCGACCAAGAAGTTGCAACCGACGAATCGGCGGGCGAAGAACCCGATGACTGATGTTCGACATCGATTTTTACCTATTCAATCTTGAAAATGTTTCTGAGATGTTAAGGTATTTTCAGGTTTTGCATCTAGTTTGAGTTCTTTTGCCACTTTTACTGTGCAATCAAATCATGCATCGAATTCTGTTCTTTTGTTGGTAGTCTCTCAATCTTTCAAGTTGCTTCCATCGTCCTTTGTCATTCCCCTGTTCTGTTGTTTTACAGAGAATCCAGTGCAATTTTGGTCTAATGGTTAGATCAAAATATTAAGTGGCCAATTTTGCATTACTTGATTCTTGAGGATAAGTGCATTAACTTTCTAACTCGTGGTATGCATTGGGTCTACTAAGTTTGTTTAATTGAGCAGGGAGATCCCCACTTACGTAACTTGCACCCACATTTTCTTCCTTAGATTAGACATGTTATTTTGGGGTTCTTATTTCTTCATTGTTGTCTCCTCTCTAGTAAA